ACTTAATTTCCCATGACTTCAGTGCGTTCCAGTGTTAAAATAAAGTAAACGCGAATTTTGGGAACGATGCTGATTTCGGAGTGTATTTAGATCTATTTCTTTGTACATTTACGTTCTTTGGCAGCGGCTAAATCTAGCCGGAAAACGGTTCAATGGCAACACTGATTGCAACTCTGCATTTTGGTCTCGTTCACAATAGTTCTACCGCTAATTCAGCCAGCTGTTTTCTTGTTATTTCCGTTTTGTCTCCTGTTTCGTAATATTCGTTTCGGCTCGTTTGTATTCGTGTACATTTTCTTTTGGCAGCCATTGCACACAGCGTCATCGTCTGAGATTTCACAATAATTAACATTTCGTCTCAACAAGTGAAGTTGCATATTTAGAGCTTGTTTCGTGACGTTTAAGAATTAGCTGAAAGAGAGACCGACTAAAATATTTTATAGTGAGTTGCAGAATTTGAAAAGTGGAACATTCAAGAAAATACGCGAAGCTAGCTGCAAGCCATACAAGAAGTAACGTAAAGTGTTGTAGAACTCAACTGCGCAGTATAAAAACATAGGAAGGAACTGAAGAGTAAACATAATTTCGAAGTGAATTGACCAGTAAAGAAGTGTTTTTGATAACAGCGATATTCCGACCAACAAAGTATCGAAATCTGTGTCTTTGAAAACCAGTGGAAATATATAACTAACTGAGGACGATATCCAACAATCAATCCAGTTCCACATATTTTCCTTCATAAAGAGTATAAAATATTTAAAATGGCACGCCATAACTTGATTTCCGAAAAGTGCTTGAAAGTTACTTTTGAGGATGACAAGCGCAAGTTGCATACTTATCTTAATATGCCATCACCAAATTTTGAGTTGTTGAAGCGAGAGATCTCTTTATGCCTCTTCGAAACGCGCAAGCTGCCGCAATGTGATGTTAAGATCACCTGGATAGGTAAGAATAAAAGAAATACAGGTTTTTCAAGTAGTTTATTTGTGGAGTTAAGCTTTATCTATATATGCATTTTGTATGTATCCTAAAAGTCCAAAAGTCACTTTACGCAGCCAACTACATAATTATATATTTAGTGCATATATATGCCCCTTTACTGCTTACATCAGGACAATATTACTAAAATAGAAATATATAAGAAGTTATCAGCAGTTTTTTTTGTATGTATTCCGTCTTATCGCGATTTTAAAACGAAGCTTCCATCGATTATAATGACTCATTAACTGCACAGTTTTTTGTTATTTGTTTACCTGCTAAGACTCGCCATTCTATACATTATCTGCACATATGTACATACATACATACATGCATAGGTACTTATACTTCGTACTATTGACAAACGAAGGAAAAATCTAACCTAACTCCACGATGACTAGCAAATAAGTAACGCTTACTGTTAGTGGCGGCCATTTTTAAGTAACAAAAATTTTACTTATTACAACTTTATTTTAAATAGATGCTGACCACGATGAAATTGAGATTGTCAACCAAGTCGATTACGAGATATTCTTGTTAGAAAGTACTGAGAATCAGCGCATNCAAAAACAAATGAAGAAAATTCCGCAAATGAAGCGGCTATGGCAGCTTGTGAAGCAGCAACTAAAGCCGCTGAGGTTGCAACTAAGATAGCTGCCGAGGTTGCTGGAAAGGCAACTTTAGAAGCCGCAGCTGCTGCAGAGCAAGCTACTGCCCAAGTTTTGAATGAGTTATTTACTGCTGAAGCTGCTGCTGCTCCGAAGCAATCTCAAGAAAATGCGGGCGATAAAGAAAAGCAAGCTCCTAAAACAGTAAGTTTCTGGAAATATAATGGCGTAGAATAAATAAATCTTAATTTTTTTTCAATTTTCTAGGCTACTACTGGAACATCGACTCCTACATCT